GGGTACAACAACTAATTGATAATCAATTTATCACTGGACTAGATTCCGAAATCATTTTTCACATAAGAGAGTAATACACAAAGCAGTGGAGTAATACCACTATCTGTATTTGGAAGGCAAATACCTATTTATCATTGAATGAATAGTTAAAAGGATCCACCTTTTAATATAATACCTATATTACATTTGTCCTCGGTTTAAAAGACATTTATAAAATATATTATTTTAGTGTTAATAAAATGTAGTATCCTAGTCTCTACTTCACATTTAAATTATTGATAGGTATTTTAAAGATTTGAGATTGTATACCTATTTGCTGCAAGTAAGTATTTGTTAAATATGTATTATTATTTGTATTTATTTTTATCTAATAATATTTATTTGTTATTAATAAACATATTTTAAGAATGTTCTATTTTATTATTTATTGATATATCTTATATTTATTTAATAATAATATGCAGAACCAACTCTCCACATCAGACCCCTGCTTATAACAAATTAATTCCTCAAATTTGGTATAATCGACCTAAATTATTTTGTAAAATAAAAGTTTCGAACTTACTAGTTCCATACTTTATTTTATAAAATAATTTATGTGGAAATCATTTAAAATTTAATTTAAAACTACTACCTACTCCTAAAAATTACAATTTGAATTTACCGCCATCTGTCAATTGTCATTTTAGTTCCAGCTCCAAACACAAGGTGGCGCTAATTTGGTTTAAAAGTTTAACATTGGCGTGGGGTCTCTAGAAGATACGTGCTTTGTGAGTTTAGTTCAGGTTAAATAAATTGGATTTCGTCTTTTTTTCTTTGCATTTTTTGGCCTACGGTCAACAGAAATTTGGTAAAAGCATAGGTTTTTTAATAAAATAGGTATGCAACCAGGATTACATACACTTAGGTACGTACTTAGTACGTACTTTTCTGTACGTACTGGTACGTACTATTGTGTACGTACTTAAAACGTACATTTTACGTCCTGTACGTACAGTACCAAAACTGTACGTACTTAAGACGTACTGTGCTGTTTGGGATAGAGCGCGGCCATTCTGACCCTATGCAACAGTTTATAGATAAAGAATCAGATCGCTCACTCTGCGTCGGCACTTTTGATCTCAATGTTCCAGTTTATACACTGCGCCACTCGAATAATACAAGTATGACAACCGCCTATATTCAAACAGTAGTCTTCTGCGTATCCTGAATTTGTATCCCTGGAGTGGATGTTATTTTGGAACTTTCAACTGGTCCGAGTGAGCTGATTCTTAAGCAATAAACTGTGACTTCAAAAATAATATTCACCGACACTGACAGCAGCAAGCAAAATATCAGGTGCGTTTTAATCATCCGCTTCTGCTTCCGGAATTGTCGGTTTAGTCGTTTTAACCTATCAGATTAAAACAAGAAAACCGACAATTCCGAAGCAGAAGCGGATGATTAAAACGCATCTATTAAAAATATTGCGCCAAGATGTAGGCAACACGTAATAAGGGTTCAAAATGGCGGAGTTTTCTAACTCCTTTTAAAAGGCACTCAGAAAGCTGCGCAGTGCGACCATTCTCCGTATAGTAAAAGAAAATCAAAGTATGTGGAGCGAACTGATTCTTTTAAGCTATAAACTGTGACGTAGTTGTCAATAGAGAATTCAAAACATATGTACCCCCCTACCGGTGCTGCCCCTGGCGGATCTTTTTTAAATCTTCCTAGGAAAAAGGCTAATAGAAAACCGTCAAAATGAATTTTTCAGTCGAAAAATATATACAAATTGTAGCATATTCAAAAGATATGAACTAACCAGATTTATCAATTTTGATTTAAATCCCAATCCTTTTTTATATGAATCCAGCCTGGCAGTAGGTTATGATTAATTTTATCAAAGGCTTTGAATAAGTTAGTATAGACGTCTACCTGATCTCTTCTATCTAATATTTTTACAATAAATTGAGTCTTACAGAATAAATCAAATCAACAAGAGATGATCTGTAAAATATAAGTATGTTTAAATGTACCGATGTATTAAGGAATTAGGTATTACAGACCATTATTCAAATTAAGATCAACAAGACTCATGTTTGAACAAAACTTGATATGGAGAGATATTCTTACAACATTATCTACTTTAATAAGGTAGCTGCATGTACAGGGCTGCCGAGAGCCTTCCCAATATCACATTTGTAAAAAGGTTCTCAAGCAAAAACTTCTAGGAGTGAAACAAAGGACCTCCCTCTTGTGCTCTTGCGGCAAACTTCTGAAAAAAAAAGTCCTCACCTCCGCCCTCCTGCATAGATAAAATAAAAAAAAATTTCTGTAGATTTTTGTGATCTAAACCCAAACTGATTTTCAGAAAATATTTAATTTTTTGCTATAAAATGTACTAGACGAGTTAGACAATACTAATAATTTATCTATCTACACTTTCCTTAACATTTGTCATCTGTCACATAAATTTGTAGACCCAGAAACAGAAAGCAAACCACACAAACACTTTTTGGTTCTCCTGTAAAATTAAATGTTTCAAAAATAAGCGATTCAGTTATTATTGATGTCATAAATCAAAATTTGTTGTATAGACACAACTTACAAAAATATATTATGAATTACAATTTACCTGTGTATACAAAGAGGCAAATAATGTCTTTATATGTCATTAAAATCAGAAAATTATATTAATCTAATTTTCTCACAATTTCTATTTTTTATTTGGAGAGTAGTGTGAGTAGTAGGGATTAAGTGTAAGGGGTTAAAGAAAAGGTGCTTTATTTCTCACAAGTCAATTAAATTGACTTACACTTAATTCTATTTCTTTTATTATTTATATCACCTGTGATATATCAATGAAATGAAAGTGAAAAACAAAAACTATGTCATTGTAATTTGAAAAATGATTGTTAGGGGGTTGTTTCTAGAGGATGATTTGACAAGAAGTTAATTGTAGTTACCCCGTAATAGACTTTTTCATCTCACATACGATATTAAAAACCTATGGGACATCCGGTATATACCCAGATAGCACAGGACGTCCCATGGACGTCCAGATTTGGTCCCGGACCTAAATAGGACGTCCAGTGGACTTCCGTTTACCGTGAACACTGGAACGTCCTTTGACAGACGTCCTATTTTGGTCCCATTTCGTCAAAGCGTTTAGTTTTCGGTCCGAGTCCAGGACGTTAAAGGGACGTCTATGGGACTTTCTACGTACTAACATCGTTGGTCTTTAAATCGATAACTTGAAATTCAACATTTTGTTTTTGCAAGAGTATGAAGACAGAAAACCTAACCTATCATTTATTTTCAAATGAACAACAACAGTTACAAATTTCGGAATTAAATAATTAACTTATATAAGTGAGTTAGATTAACGAAAAAAAAAAAAAGGTAATATAGTGTTATTTGTTTTTTTTTTTTATGTTGGTGGTAAAGAGGTTATAAGTGAGTGTTTTTTGTTTAGGTGAGAATAAGCGATGTGTATTCCCAGACAACACACCAAATCACAGAGATATTTACAGAATATTTTTTGTGGATATATAGTATATCCACAGGATATCAGAAATATTCCGTGGATCTAATATGGATATCCAAATGTCCGTCTATATCCAGAATATAGAAGATATCCCTATGGATATTCAGCAAAATATCTAATGAGTATCTTCCAGACAATACAAGAAATCGCAGAGATATCCACATAATATATTTTGTGGATATCCAACCAAATGTCCGTCTATATCCCAGGATATCCTAGATATTCAGTAAAATATTTTATAGGTATCTTTAGTAAATGTTCATAGTAACCAATGAATATTGAATAACGTCGAAAGAATATAGAGATAAAAAATATTTCCAACAATCTGCCTTTGATTTTGCCCACTAAGGAGAATGTCATCCTTATTAGGATTCTTCAGCAATAAATGGGAATTCTCGACTCCAGTCTCTAATGAAGTTAATTCTGAAAAAAATTTCGATCGAACTCAATTACGGCGGGTTGAGCATGAGTAGATACGAAAGTGGTATCGCCATCTATACTTAGGAAGCAAAATCAAAAATTAAATCTAGTGGATATCCACGATGGTTTGCGTCCGCGCTTAGACTTTGATATATTTAGTGGATGTCCATGGGATAATGAATATACCTTAAAAAAATTAATTTTAAATATCTGAACGGTACTATTAGCCACAATGGCGAGCACAATGGCGTAATTTTTTAATAATTTGTTATATAATTACTATTATTTATGGACATGTCTATAAATTACATTTCATGGATATAAAATAGATATCCACCATGGACTGGACATTCAGTGGATATTGGGATGTTCAGTAGATATCCAAAGGATTTGGTGTGCTGTCTGGGTTGGCGGTAGCCGCTGGCGAAAAGAAAAGACCTTAATGGCGGAAAGTTGGAACAAAACAAATTTTGACAAAATTATAAAACTTATATCAATACAAGCTATAAGTAGGACCCAATGTTTGATCTTACCAGCCCTGTGTGTTAAATTTAATTCATTCGTTTTTTTTTTTGTAAACTGAAAACGTTTTACTCTAGCTAGTTATTTCAGGATAAAAGTTGTTAAATAAAGCCCTTTTGATGTTAACATTTTTATTATTATTACCCTTTATGGATTATGGTCAAATATCGTCCCTCGGACGTCTGATTTACGTCCCTAGGATGTCCCTCAATGGTCCCTATTACGTCCTTTTGGGATGTCCCTAAGATGGACGGAAACGGGACATTAGGACGTCCATTGACGTCCCGGTACCAAAATAGGACGTCCCTTGGACGTCCTTTATGTCCCTGTAGGACGTCTTTTAGACGTCCATAAGACGTCCGTGTGCTATGTGGGTATCCGACTTATTTGAGGGTTTACTAATAAGGAATCATTAAGGGGTTATTAATAAATGAAGATTAAGGTATACTAAAAATTATTAAAACATAACAATGGAGAATGGGATAATGAAAAATACTTAAAATTTACATTTTCTTTAATTTTTTTTTATAAACACACGTACCACCTATTAATATAATAGTAATTGCCCTTTCTCGAAACCATATTAAATGCGTGGAGTTTCAGAAGGGATAGAGGATAAACAATCAATGTTTATTTATATAAATCAATATTCAGAGAGACAAGCAAGTCAATACACAATAAAATTGTCATCAATGCTAAGTGATAATAATTTTAGTTGGATAAGTACCTACCTTGGTGACAAATAATGTGGATATCTTTTTAAAGTTTTATTATATTCACAATTTATTACTTATATTATCATTTAAAATAAATACACATTTCTAATGTCATAAACCTAAACAATATGGATTTTCTATCTACTTCGTCGCATTTTTCTGAAACAACAAAAAAAACAGTTGATTTCAAATAATAAAAGTGGGTTTTGACAGGTTATATGGCAAACTTGTGGGCCTGGTGATTTGACAGGGTCAATGATATAAATAGTTATATAGATTGATCATCCATGAAGTAAACATGTAATTATTTTTTTTTACTATATTTAAAGGCTGAAAATTGGTTTTAAAACACATGTTTGCTAAACCGATTCTGATAATTAAGCACTTGCAAGGCAATATGGCCGCTTGCAAATGACCCGCTTTGAGCAATCTATATAACTATATATTTATCATTAACAAGCCCACAGAGTTGCCATATCTAAACTATCGGTTTCCACTTGTCATCATTTTGACAGGTCGTTGGAATACCTAATAGCCAAAAATGTTTCTTAAGTAGACCATAGAGAAAATCACGAAAGTATGAGCGAATTATTTTTTTTTAATGACAGGTTGGCTTCGTATCTATCTTTGTTAGTTATAAGCACGATGAATGACGTTATTATAAAAGTTTCAACATATAAAACATATAAAAAGATACAAAGCCAAAAGATCTTGGCCGGAGGATATGAAATTTATATAAATTTGCAATAATATTTAAATATTATTGTATTATATCAAAATGAACGTTGTATTTGTTAATTGAATTAATCCATGAAAGGTTCACAGTGAGAAACAACAAAATTCCAAGGACACCAAGCAGTCCAAAGGCAATGAAAGATAGAAGAGGAACAGGAAACTGTTCAGGACTTAGCAACATTGAAAACAAAGAGAAGACAGGGAAGAACAAACAATATTTTTATAAAATTAATCCCGAAAAGTTTAATTAAAATTGTAAATTTGTAGACCTATTTTTTCTATAGCAATAGACATGGATGTCCTGTTATCATGTAACCCTATACAATCCCAGATAGCACACTACGTCTGAAAGACGTCTTTTTGTGTCTTGGTTTGGTCTCAATGTCCTAGGACGTTATTAAGACGTCTTATAAGATGTCTTTCAAAAGCCATAATTCAGATGTATTAATGTGAGAGCTGAAAGACGTTCTTAAGAAGTCTTAAAGACGTCTTTCCAAATCCATATATTAATATGAGAGCTCAAAGACGTCTTTAAGACGTCCTAGAAACGTCTTTCAGTCGGACGGTTTACATAATTCAAATTTAACAAGAAGAATTTGTCTGGATAGACGACTGACTTTCAAAAAACATATTCAAGACAGAATTTATAAAGCTACAGGGATGATAAAACTTCTATACCTTATGTTAAGTCGTAATAGTAAAGTTTCAAGGGTTAATAAACAGCTCCTATTTAAACAAGTGATAAGACCTATTTTATTATATGGATGTCCAGTCTACTGCTCCATGGCTGAAACTCAATTTAAAAAACTACAAAATGTCAAAACAGGTGTCTTAGACTAATCCTGGGATGTACAAAGTACACCAGAATTACTGAAATGCATGAAAGCACAAACATTCTTCCTATTACATATTAAACACTGCTGAAAAATTCTACAAATACAGTCTTCCACAGTCAATTAAGGAAGACATAGCACAATTCACTGCTGCAAACAAAATTAATAGGAAGTATGTTTGGCTACATGAAAACCTGACACTATACAGACGATGAACAGGGACAAAACTAAAGCAGAATAACATATACAAGAAACATGGCATGCAATATCCAAATTGCACTGAATTCACACCTCAGTCGGCAAGTGACTATATCGAATGGTGGGCGGGGCGTAGGTCCAGGGAGCACTGCCATTGGTCGAATCCCTGGAGCTATGAACGGCCAGATTTTCGATAGATCACTCGTGGGTATTGTAGACAATAAACCATATACTATTACAAACACACTTTCACGCCTCAAAACCCTGTTTTTTCACTAGCTTTTTTAGGGAAATTTAAACAAAACTTTCACTCAAGTTCACTGACTGCGAAAGCATAATAACTCAAAACAGGCTAATGATACCAATCTGGTAAGGAGTAGACTCAATTCACAACGACGGAAACATTTAACAGGATCAATGGGCAGAACATCAGCCAGAATCTAGCATAGATTCCAAAGAAGAGGATATTTATTTATGTATATGTGTCTTTCTTCTTATATATTGAATTTGTAGATGTGAATTGTACATAATATAAATGTAAATAAAGAATTTTAAAACAAAGAACAAACAAGAAAAATCAAATGAAGTAAAGTTTGATGTTTGACTTAACATTACGTTCAAGCAGTGTTGCCAACCGTACGATTTAAATCGTATTTATACGATTTTTTAACTCTCTGTACGATGTACGATCGCATCAATGAGATCGTACGTAAAAATACGATCTTTCCTTTTTTAGTAGGTTTATCTAAATATCTGCAACAACTTCAAAAAATAAAACAAAAAATCAAAAACTACTTGAACTACTCTCAAAGATTCATAGGCCGTTCGTAATTTCTGAAGACTATCACGGCATAACGAAAGCTTGCATACAAAATTTTCTTTAGTTTTTTTTTGTTGTAAAAATTTTTACAAATAAATAAATTAGTATGCCAAAGTTTTTTTAATTTTTTCATTCCATTTAAGTTATATCATGCTATACATGTATCTATTGCACGATTTTTTTGTCGAAAAATTGGCTAGTATTCCATTTTTTTACTCTACTTGTACAATATCTAAAAAAAAATTGTTGGCAACACTGCGTTTAAACCCAAGCCAAAAATGTTTATAGCCCAAGCTTATTGTGGGTTGTGGATTATTATTTTGTTGTTTAGACGATTATAGCCGCCAAAAGTGCCTTTGGACTGTTATGTGCATTTGTTTTTATGTTTAGTCTCTTTTTACTTAAATATGAGACTAAAACCAGAGAGGGAAAAGTAGTGCAGTTTCTGTTACCAATGTAGCACGTTCTTGGAATATTTTCTACATGTAATAAATGAATATTTGTTTATATACATAGAACATTAATATCCTGTTTCTTCAAAGTAATAATAACTAAATGAATTTAACAGTAAACATCTTAATATAAGATTTAATTCAGATACTCGTCAATTATCATGTTTTTTTATTTTTATAGAGATTTCGAAAACTATTAATATCAAAAGCTTCTATTAGATAACCATTTTGAGTAAAGTTCAAGTAAAATTGTCAAAGTAGGCGATTAAGTGTAATACATCTTGCGTTAATTGATTTGTTATAAAAATTCATTGATTTAAAATTCTAAGAAATTCATTTTTTTCTGTGACTAGAATGCTCTTACCTAAATTTCTTTTTAGGAACTGCTAAAAATACAAAGGCAACTGCAAATTAAAAAGAAAGAGAAAAAGCAATCCAGTTATGGCTAAAGAGGAGAGATCGAATTCGCTACAAACAAAAAAATAATAACTTTTAGTGACCTGTGAATAATTGATATTAATTATCAATAAACATATTTAAATTTCTTTTTTGTATTCTTTATAACCTGCAAGGTCATTCTACTAATTTTATTAACCAAGATATTCGTATTAGCAGAACAAAAATAATGAACGTGTTATTTATGGCTTAAGGCGAACTAGACTCTTAAAGACATCTGTTATGTCTTAGGCGAGACGTCTTTAAGACGACTTTGTGCTATCTGAGATGTAATGTGATTAGAAAACAACTTATTTCAGTTGGAACACAGATTATAATTTTATACATGAAAATGCTTAAATTTGTGACCTCACTGTAGATACTTACTTGTTTAGACTTGGCTCCCGCATTGATCCCGGTCGGGCGTTTCTTTTTGGTCGGGGGCTGCTGAAAAATAAATTAATTAGAATTATAAATAAGGAATCGCAAAAGGCAGGAGAGACAGGGCAGGTTCACCACACACTGAGCCAGAAAGCGCTCAAAATTGGCCTAAAATTCTTAGAGGGAAAGCCCACTCACGCGACATGTCGCGCACGACCTGCCGCATGCGATTTTTTAGGTGCGATTTTTAACAGACGACAAGCAGCGACACAGACGTGCAGTATCAAAATAGAGGTGGAAGAAGTAGCAACGGTGTTGTTTTATTCTGTTCGTCGGCGGAAAAAATTAAAACGACGTAGGTACTGGGTTCATCCATTATTTATAGACACTTATGTAAAAGGCGCATTTAATTTATTATATAAGGATTTAAATCAACACGAAGGTAAGTTCTTCAATTATTGCAGAATGAGAGTAGTGTCATTTGACGATCTGATAGCTCAGATTCCCGAACAAATATTTTTTTTTTTTTTTTTTTTTTTAACTATGTTAGTGGCACTGGATATAAACCAACAGGCCAGTCAATTGTCAGGTGAACAAATAAAAATATATAACAAACTTTATTACTTTACAAATTATATTAAAGTTGCTCTACCTTAATAACTAATAACCTGAACTTAATAAGGTTTAAATGTTTTGTTTATTTGTTTTTTTTATTTTTGTTTTTTTTTTTATTTTTGTTTTTTTTTTATTTTTGTTTTTTTTTATTTCTGTTTTTTTTTCCATTTTTTCTTTTTTCTCTTCTGTCTTTATTTTTTTTTTTCTTTTCTTAACAATTTTTTCGAGTCAGGTGTACAAATTTTTTTTATTGGTAGCATCGCTACTTACATGTTTTATTTCTATTTCATTTGTTCGCTATTTTATTTCAATTAACTGATCGATATTTGAGGTCGGTCTTGAATATCGGATATAAATTTATCTATATCAATACAACTGTCGGACATTTTTTCACTGGAACTGTCGAGAAGTTAACAGGAAACTCCAACTCTCAACTGGCGTTTCGCTGGCCGTGTGCGGCAGGAAAATCGCGGGCTTGTCATTTCTAATTTTCAGCCGCGTGCGACCACGCGACAGAACCGCGTTAATGGGCTTTGAGTCATTTAAAAACATCTAAAGTATTGCCGCGCGCGATGCCTCGCAATCAGTCGCGCGCGACGTGTCGCATGAGTGGGCTTTCCCTCGAAATTCTAATGTAAATGCTTTGAACTTAGTATGTGAAGGTTTTTAGGGCCTCTCATTTCATATCCGATTTCAGATATTTAAAATTTACAATGGCGGATAAAAATGATAAATTTGCATGAAACTTTATGCAGTACGTTTTTTTGGGGCTGGTGACTTCAAATTTAATGTGGCTGATACAAAATGGCGGACAAAAATTGTAAATGTTCTTAAACTTGCACTAAATTTCGTTATAAGACGGTTTTTGCTGACTCCAAATTTGATGTCAGAACTAGCATTATTATACTATAATACTTGCTGCTGATTCCGAATTTGATTTTAAAAATTAAAAAAATTCTTATTGATAGTTTGAAGATCTGAGAATTTGTATGTAAAATTTAATTTCTTATTATTATTGATGTTGCTGGATTTATTTGATAACAGCTATGGTTTTACTTGTTGAAGTTCATCATGATCGTTAATAGCATACCGGAACAAAAACATTTACAATGTAATTACAATAAGAATTATTTTACAATATTTATAAAAATACACAATTCAGAGTGATTGTTAATGGCAAGTCCTCTAATAGTCATATATAGAGTCGAAAATATTTACAATAATTACAAAAGTAAATAATAATAATAATAATACTTTCCCTAATTTTCCCCCTTACGAGTGAATTTCAACCCCTGAAGTTGACTGAACGACTTGTGTAGGGGAAGGGACGGTTACTATTATTATTTGCCGTGGCGCTCCAGGGCGACTTAAAGATGATTGATGGTGCCATTTGACTTACAGGTAAGGAACCTCACCCACCATCATCGAGACGGTAACGCATGGCGATTTTATAATATGCATGTCATATCAACAGAAATTAAATTTCTATTAATACGGCACACATCAAATCCTATAATAAACCGTACAATCTAATTAAAAATCCACATGGTCTGGTGTAGGATTCGAACACCCTCTCTGTCTGACCACAAACTTGCCTATAAATGAACATAAGCGCGTGAGACCGCTACGCCACCGACTCGATATTCACAGTATCTCAAATTCGCAATGCTTATTTATTGTCAGCACATTAGTGTATTCAAAATCTCACTAGTAACTATAAAAGAAAGAATAAAGGGCAATTTAATCACATGACAGCTAAAGTTCATTCAAGTGGGTACAATTTAGTAAGAACCTTGTATCTTCAATTTTTTAATTTGGATATATGTATCATCACTGTTATAATTTTGTGAATTTGTTGCGATTAGTAATGAGGAGGGGAAAGATCAGCTTTCAAATCTTTCAAACCTTCAGGGAGAGCATTTTAAACTCGAATAGTTATTTTTTTAAATATAATCTGAGCCACTGATAAATTAATTATTTCATGTTTTTTGTATTTAGCCAGTATCATATGAATTCTACAATTTATTATTGTTAAGAATATAATTATTCAAAATTTCTTCAGAGTTAAGCGTGAAATTAACATTAACATTAATGAATATCAATAAATAGCAATACATATCAATAAATATCAATAAATATCAATAAATATCAATAAATATCAATAAATATCAATAAATATCAATAAATATCAATAAATATCAATAAATATCAATAAATATCAATAAATATCAATAAATATCAATAAATATCAATAAATATCAATAAATATCAATAAATATCAATAAATATCAATAAATATCAATAAATATCAATAAATATCAATAAATATCAATAAATATCAATAAATATCAATAAATATCAATAAATATCAATAAATATCAATAAATATCAATAAATATCAATAAATATCAATAAATATCAATAAATATCAATAAATATCAATAAATATCAATAAATATCAATAAATATCAATAAATATCAATAAATATTAATAAATATCAATAAATATCAATAAATATCAATAAATATCAATAAATATCAATAAATATCAATAAATATCAATAAATATCAATAAATATCAATAAATATCAATAAATATCAATAAATATTTATAAAATATCTACTGAGTTAGTGGATAAAGATCAATGAGAAAAAAATAATTTCCTAATTTTTATGTAAAGTAGCGAGTTGATCCAGTGCTGTTAATTCGTTTCCATTACGTCACAAAATGAAAAGGGGTAAAAGAAGGTAGGATTATCTTGAACTGTATAAAATACAGAACGCATATAAACCTGAATTTTATGAATTGAAAGTGGAATCTCGGGGAATGATAAAACAAAAGAGGAATCATTTGATGAATACTGTTTTATAACCAAGAAAATGATTTTTGTTAACAAATATTTAAGACTTATTCTTTTGTCATAATATTTCATTCACACACATTTGACAAATCCTTCCAAAAGAGGACTTTCTTAAATACATGTTACCTTATTTCAGTAATATAACCACCACTATAGAAGTTCGGATCGTTTTTAAGACTCTATATATCAATTTCAAGTCAAAAATAAAATCATTTTGAGGTAAATACAGTATACTTCAATGGTGTAGATGATAACAAGATTCATTAAAGGCCAGTCTTTTCACCTCTAAATAAAGTTGAAAGTAACTACCTGCTGATTAAACTATACCGCTATTGTTTGTTAATCCGTCAAGTTTACCTGTATGTAATTTTACTCAAGAGGTGAAAATATCGGCCTTTATTTTAGTTTAAATTGGTTTTTGGCTAATTTTGAGTGTTTCCTAGCCCATTGTGCATCCTGGCATTAACGATTAGTGTGGTCACTTTCTGAGGTTAAAATAAATGTTATACTTACGATTTGGTCACGTGTACTGATGTTTCTAGAACCCTGTGGAAATGATTACAATTAGTAAACCAAATATTTAACATATTTAAGTAAAAGGTGTCCCATAATGTTTTGCTGTTTTTAGAGAGCGCTAGTTTGGCAACGATAAATATAAGCGCCATGACTCTGTATTTGCCAGGTCGAGGAAGGTTGTGGGTTATATTTGTTCAAAGTGGGGTGACATATGTTGGCCCCCAAGATATCCTGATCTGACTTCCCTGGATTTTTTTGTAGGGCTATCTAAAGTCCTAGGTGTACGAAACACCAGCACGTACTCTGGGGGCCTACAAATTGCGAATTCAGGCTAAAACGCTATTCCAGGGGAAAAAATACTAGCCGTTTATTACAATTTAAGGTTTAGACTTCAAGAATGCGTGACACGGGAAGGAAAACATCTGGAAAACATTATTTTCAAGAAATTAAAATCCGCGTTTATTATTAACATTTTCACAATAAATTTAATATAAGTTAGGCAAAAGCATTTGTTTTATTTTAGTTGAAAAACAGCAAAACATTAGGGTGGAACAAAAAAACCTTATTTTCGAATTTGTCAATGAAAAATAGTTGCATTTGTAGACCCTTTTTATCCACACAAAAAATTTAAGACCTTCCAGAATACATAAAATCATATGTGTTACATATGGTTGAACTCGTATTGAATAGGAGATTCCAATAATGACTGAATATACAAAGTGATGAATTTGAAAAACCAAAGTGACTAATAATATAAGATAAACGGCAAATCTGGCAACATTGCAAATATCAAATCTGAAATCCTCTGTATCCCAAAACAGGTGTACCCTAAATTTTGTACAATTAGGACTAGCAATTTACGAGATAATTGGCCGTTTCCAGACTTTTGGGCCATTCTGTATTTTAAAATATATAGATAGTTTATAAACCATATACAGTGAGATTCAAAAGAAAACGAGAAACACGAGAAAATATTATTTTTTTCTTTCTTGTCTTATATTTTAAAATTTCGTCGGTCAAATTGCGTAATTTTTTACTTTACCTATTTTGAGTTTACTAATATGTAATTCGATTTGGCAACATTGCAAAAATTTCGGCGGACGCGATACATCCAAGTGGGGGAGATTCAGAAACGTTAATTTAATTTCTATTCCTAGCAGCACCCACTGGACTAATGTTTTAGGTGCCAAATTTAAAAATATTTATTAAATTAGAACGGTTTTATTGACCTTTTACGATTATTCAGTGTTTAGAATAAATCTAAGGTGGTATGTAAAGCAATAAAAATTTACAATAACAGGAAATAGGCTAATTGTGTACGTTTATAAAAGTTTTAGAGATATTTTATTATGAAATAATGATATTAATTTTATTTATAAAAAAGTTTAAAAATTTTGTAATAGAACAACTTGGATTTTTGAACAAAACATTTTTTTCCTCGAAAACCGCTTACCAGATTTTTTCAAAATTTGCCCATTAGTTACTTATTTGATGTTAGGTGAATTTTTTGAAAATTTTTGAACATAAGATTTATTTTTTGTTCGGGTAAGATAAACCTTAACGTATTATATTACAACGTCTATAAGTAGGACTTTATTCAGTGTTGCCAGGAGTAACGGAACTTCGCTACGTCATCGGATTTTCAGCCCTTACAGAAGTGGAAAGACATTTTTCTTGAGTAGCAAAATTTGTGTCTAGCAATATGTAATCATATTTTATATTTATTTAAAGATTTTATAAAACAGATTTATTATAATGATTTTTTTTTAATTTCAGTTCATTTATCAATTTTGTTTTAAATTGTTCACTGTTGGCAACATTGGTGTTAGTATTCCATTATAATTCGATATTTTTTTTTACTTGTGAGCTTTAAATTTGTTTATTTCTTACAGTATGTGATAGTGTTTATATTAAAAGTGAAATTTGCAAAAAAAAGTCCCCAGCAAATTGCAATCTATAAAAAAATAAGAAAATAAGAATCAAAAAAAAACTTACTTCTTATTTTCTTTGCCTTTCTTTTTCATTTTAGTTACAGGTGATTTTTCGGCAGCTAAGCTACTTTCGCTACTAACGCTACTACTCGAAGAAGGGCTTATGATTCGTCGCCTCTTTGGTTTAACCGACTTAGGCGAAGTTATCGGCGTTGCATTCAATCTCTTGCTCACTTCGTGCATTGAAGCATTCGATTTGTCCAAGTCGAGTCTTTTGATGAGCACTTGGGCGACGTTTGGTTCCATACTGAAAGTTTAAATTTGCTTGATAATGAATGAGTACAAGTCAATGACGAAAAATTACTAAACTAAATCCATTCATATCCATATTGTCACAATTTTCTTTTAATAATGGGCCCAGAATCACAGAAAAAGTCCTTTATTTTATTTATATTCCATCACACTCAACCAAATTATGGTTATCATAGTCCATTATCTCGTTTGCCTCTTGAATATAATAAATGCCATAAAATCTTTATATTAAATTTTTTTTAATTATTGGAAAAAAGTTATTTTTAATTTTAATTTATATAAAATTATGTTTTATATTGTTATATTTATATTTTCTTTAAATTGTGTTTTTTGTTATTTTGAGATTGTGTCTATATTTAAATTGTCCATTTTAAATTGTCTGTTGGTTTTAATTGTGATTATACCTGCCAACTAACTGTATCATATAATATTAAAATGAAATTCATAATATTTTTTTCTTTATACATTGGAAATCCGTAAATAAATAAATAAAACTACAAGAAATAACCAGGTAAATAATTAACATCAATTATTTATACTTTATATATTTTCTTTTATTTGGTTATTATACAGCTTGGTATTTATATATTGTACATGTCTCATTCCAGAGTAATGTTACCCGCCACGTTTGTTTATTTTATGATTTTAATTAATTTGTAAGCAATTAATGATATTAAAATTGCCAAATAAGCATTTTTTCCAGTGGCGTGGTCGTACAATTTTAAATGTTAACTTTTATCAAATACTATTTACTGATGAATCTACTTTACATAACGGATTTGTGAATAGACATAATTTTCATTATTATAATACCGAAAATAAACACGAATTTCGAACTGTAAGTAGACAAAAACGATGGACGTTAAACGTTTATGGTGGAATGATAGGAAGACAGTTTGTGAGGCCCTATTTTTTTGATGGCCATTTAAAGTAAAATATTTTTTTAAATTTTTGAAGATTCCCAGAACCTTCTTTTTCATATTAGACGAAAAATGTGGCTGCAGCTAGATGGTGCTCCAACCCATTTTTCGCATAATGTCACGACATATTTAAACCAAAAATTTCCTGAAAAGTGGATAGGAAAGAGGCCCTATTAATTGCCTCCTAGATCACCCAACTAACCACTCTAGATTTTTTTTTTAGGGGGTTCAGATTAAACTTTAAACTATACCGGTTGTCCCAGTTTTCTTAAAATTACTTATTTACACTCGATGACCTAACAAAACATGATGTGTTTTACAGTAAATCCAGTCATATACTATATTTATATTAACATTAGAAATATCAGAATAAAAATATACTTGTATTAATACTTACCTAGTTTTTCTTTTGGTAATAGATTGTTTCGAATTCTGACATACTGTTTCATTTTTTGTAGATTTAGTACTAGATGATTTTTTAAGTCTTGAACTCATTCTGGGTGTAGAAACAACTGGTGTTGAACTGTATCAAAAAAAGTAAACGTTAAGTAAGAATGGATAACAAATTAAAGAAAAAAAATGTTAGAAGCATTTGTCATACTACTGTGCATTAATACAATCAAATTACTTACGTAGCTAACTGATGTGCAATTGTGGTTGTTAATCCAAGGCTAAAATCAAAACAAACAATTTAATTATATATTATAATATTATTTACTGACAAAAAGTGACCATGAATCTACATAGAGGATTTTTCTTTTTTTTTTTTTTAAATTACAAGGTGTCAAATCTGGGATGTAAAGTGGCTGTACATTGAATGTTGTACACTTGACAACAGTGCAAAGTAAGTGAATGCAGATGGATTCTCATCTTTCGATACCTCATGTATCGAGATGCATATCTTCTTTCAACCAGACAGCTATTCTTATGTAATGTCTCTCTCTCTCTCTCTATTCAATACATATCAAGTCGAGTTCATACTTAAGAATCCCTGTGCTGCTGTTTAATATTTAGCGACTTTTAGGATAGAAATATCATGCATTATTATCTGTTTCAATAAATAAAATTCTGCAATGAGGGTAGTACTCACCTTTCCATGGTAAGTATTTTAGAAATATCTGAAGTATTACTGCAACTGGGCTCAGAATCTAGTGCACTCGGAGATTTAGGTATAGAAGAGATATTGGTAAACTAAAAAAAAAAAGATATTTTTCTAAAAACCGGTTTAATTTAAATATTATATCAAAACTAATTTTTTAAATGTTTCTCCCTTATACAATGACTATTTATTTTCCAAAACACATTTCATGAAAATCGGATGAAAAATAGCATCTGAAATGTATTTAAATTTGAGAAAAACTAAATTTTTCCAAAAATCACCTTAATTAAAAAAAATGTAGGTATCAAAAATAATTTTCATAAAAAAATGTTTCTCCTTTCTAGAATAAATATTTCTTAATTATTTGCAAAACATGAAAATGCGATGAAAAATAAAGCTTCTGGGATTTATTTAAATTTAGAAGTAGAACAATGACCCTCCTCTATAAAGGAACTCCCTAGTTGCACTGACTATGGATGGATTAAAGCTTAAATTTTGAACTTTGTGTTCTTTTTATCCGTTTTTGAGTTATCCTGTATACAGAAATTAAATTATCGCGAAAATGGTCAAAATTACTGATATGTGTTAAAACGGATTCAAGGAACCCCAAAAACGTACAAAAAATCATGATTTACTTACTAGTTACTGGAAAGTAAAAATATTCTCAAAAAAAAAAGTATACAATCAACATCAACAATCAAAAAGATCGAGTAAGGTCGTAAGCATGTGCTCTGTATTTTAAACCAAAATTCGGTAGAAAAAATTAACAGAAAATAATAAATTTTATATCAAAGTGAAGCTTACGTTCTAATGTTTATTGTGAAATAATAATTTTCGCGAAAAGTTGTGTTTGAAACAAACTTTTGATAATTAAAATCTATATATATATATATATAAAATTGTTTGTCCTGACTGACTGACTGACCTATCAGCGTACAGCCAAAACTACTGAGCCTAGAAAGCTGAAATTTGGAACATAGGTTTATTTTATAACGTAAGCATCCGCTAAGAAAGGATTTTTGAAAATTTTAACTTTAAAGGGGGGAAATGGGAGGAAAGGGGGGAAATGGGAGGAAATGGGGGAGGGAGCTTTTAATGAAACTCTTTGTTATTTAAAGTTAGAAACAAGACAATTTAAATTACAGCTACTGAGCATAAATAAATAATGACGTGTTTCAGGGTTTTTGGATTTTTTACATTTTAAGGGAGGAAAACGGGGGGTGAAAGTTTGTAAGGGACTATCGATTTTTTTTTGTTCTCTATGAAGTTAGAAACATGAAAATTGGAATTGCAGCTACCGACAACAAATTATTAATGACGTGTTTCAAGGTTTTTGGATTTTCACGTTTTAAGGGGGGAAATGGGGGGTGAAAATTTATTTGGGAGTATCCATGTTTTTGGTTCTGTTTAAAGTTAAAAACATGAAAATTGGAATTGCAGCTACTGAGTACAAATTAATAATGTGATTTAGGGTTTTTATATTTTTACATCTTGAGGGGGGCAAACGGGGGTAAAAGTTTGTATGGGAGTATAACTTTTTTTTGTTCTCTTTGAAGTTAGAAACATGAAAATTGGAATTGCAGCTAATAAGTACAAATTAATAATGACGTGTTTTAGGGTTTTTGGATTTTCACATTTTAAGAGGGGGGAAACGGGGGAGTGAAAGTTTATTTGGCAATATCGATTTTTTTAAAGGTAGTAACTTGAAAATTGGAATTGTAGGCTCTTATCATAAATAAATAATGAAGTATTTCATGGTTTTTGAATTTTCACATTTTAAGGAGGGGAAACGGGGGTGAAAAATAATAAAAAAAAATATAATTATTATTTTATTAATGTTAATTTAATAAAATTAATAAAAATTAATAAAAAATTAATAAAAATTATTAAAAATTAATAAAATTTAATAAAATTTAATAAAAATTGTTAAAAATTGTTAAAAATTGTTAAAAATTGTTAAAAATTGTTAAAAATTGTTAAAAATTGTTAAAAATTAATAAAAATTAATAAAAATGAATAAAAAATGAATAAAAATGAATAAAAAAACATGAGTTGAAATGAATAAAAATTAAAAAAATTAATAAATATAAAAAAATGAATAAAAATCAATAAAACTAATAAAAATTAATAAAAAAGGAAATCATGTATTTTTTTATATTAATAACACTACTATATGCGAGCAAAGTCGCGGGTAATAGCTAGTTAATAATAAAAATAAATACTTTTGTGTAAAAAAACCATTAAGATAATTCATCGCCGCAGTGAAAAAACTTTAAGATAAAAGATACTAAATAAATCGTTAATTATAGTTATTGTCCAGTGGCGTACTAGATATTTTAACTGGAGATTAAAATCGACCAATTTTATGGAAAATGGAACCTACTTTTACTTGCTGTAAAGCTAAATCATTTCTAAACTTTCATCCCTGTCTTTCGCCGCTTAATTTTTTCATTCCAAAATTCCTGATAATGCCTATAGATTTTTTCTCTTTTATTGGGGCTACTTCATGTAGTATAGAATATACCTTTTCTACAAACATCTTATATCTTTTATTTAAATTTATTTCTCTATAGTTCCAATTTATATTTTTTAATTTTAATCCAATTAGTTCAAAGTCAATGTTTCTGCCCCTCGTTTTTTTATATAAAATGATATTCTTGATAGTTTTATGTCCTTTAAAGATATTATTGTATAATAAAGTTATACAGTCATCTACCTACCTCTCTAAAATAAATAATAGTCTGAGCTCATTTAAATGCAAATTAAAAAGCTTTTTATCCCAAAAATGCCCCTATAGTATTCATGAATTTTTCTTGTTGTTTTTGTAGTACAAGGTACAGCCTATGTCATACAGGTGTTTTCAAGCATATCAGTCCTAATTTTAATTTTGTTTATTTATTGCTAAATTGTATATTTAAATTTGTTAGTTAGATTTTATATTTGTAAATGACTTATCCTATATCATGTATATGATCAAAAAGTATTAATAAAGTATTATTATTATTATTATTATTATTATTATTATTATTATTATTATTATAATTTTTTCGTAAATTTACTACTCACCGTATACGAATTGTTTCCGTTATTTTTCCAATTTGAATCTTCTAAAAAGAAGGTTGGAGATTTGTTGTTAGTCTTATTAGGACCGCTAAGCCTGGTGGATTTATTGGGACTTCCACGGATTTCGTCTACAAACGTATTTTCGTTGATCGTGTTGCTTGCTTCGGCCGATAGAGATGAAGTACGGTACGAGAAATGTTCTAGCGAATTATTTAAGCTCGTTTGGTCTTCTTTTTGGGCGCCCCGAAGAGGACTCAGGTATATTCTGATCTGAAAAATATTTATGGTATCTATTTTATTAGATTGATAAAAATTAATTTTAAACAAGATTGGAAAACCCTAAGAATTAAAAATGTATAAATAGGTTTTTATGTCAAAAATTAATATTAATAAAGGTAAGTAAGGCGGCCTTAGCAAATGTATTAGCACAGTAGAATTTTTCTACATGCCAGATCGGCTTTCTAGGCAATAAATCTATGCGAATTCACATTTATAATATTCTAATGGTATTGAACTATTTCCTGAATATATTGAAAAGTGGAAAAAAATTGAGAAAATTAAAAAAAAACAAAATACGAAAATGTCAAAAGTCATCAAAAATCGCTATAAAACTATTTCAGGAAATAGAATATATTTCCATTAGAGGCTCCACACAAAAAATATTTCATTTTTTGCTTTCATGTTTCAAGTTCTTCGTTGAATTAACAACAAATGTCTGCGTTGCAATAAGCCATGAGTAATAAATGTCATAAAAAAATCGGTATTATACGCCGACTCTCGAACGGCGGATATAACTATTGAAATGTTATAAAGAGTTTCTAGACACTTTGAAACACACTATACATAACAATTTTGGGTCCGCTAACACTTATTTAAAAAAAAAAATTTACCTTGAATTCCAAAATCCTTAAAATTTGTTGTCGGGTCTCCATCATAAAACAAATGTAAATAAACCATTTTCACTGATTTCTTGTTGTAGAAACGGCTAAATATCAATATAAGACCATTCATAGAGCAATAAACCGTACCAAATTTTTTCATAAACGATCAAATTTTCTTATTTTTCATTTTTAGTTTGTTAGAAAAATAAATTAACACTAAATTATTTTTAATGACAATTGATGTGTCTAGTTTCTATAAATGCAGTGTTGCCAAATCGAGTAAGAAAACATATAAGTCAGGAAATATTTCGATTAGTGAAAGTTGGCTGAAAAATTACATAGTGTCTGGCCAGCAGGTAAATTTGGAAAGTGAAAACATTTGTAGTAATCACAGACAACCGTCTTTTTATTTCATTTCATGATGATTGTACGTTAATTATGGCATAATATTTAAAAAAAAATCAATTTGAGCTGTGTCCAGGCCGTTGGAGTTTATGCCGGTCGGCGTAGCCAGGTATGGTTTAAAAATTTTCTGGTGGCGGCGAAGCCGTCACCTTACAAGAAGTCGTTCCTTCATTTTCTTATTATATATTTTCTTATTATTAGATGCTCACGATACAAGACACGTTCGTTAACAGTTGGGGTCGAGGTTCACTGGCCAGACGCTAATGAGGGTTGGTTAGGTTAGGTTTTTTTTCAATTTGAGCTGTGTCCAGACCGTTGGAGTTTATGCCGGTCGGCGTAGCCAGGTATGATTTAAAAATTTTCTGGTGGCAGCGAAGCCGTCACCTTACAAGAAGTCGTTCCTTCATTTTCTTATTGTATATTTTCTTATTATTAGATGCTTACGATACAAGACACGTTCGTTAAAAGTTGGGATCGAGGTTCACTGGCCAGACGCTAATGAGAGTTGGTTAGGTAAGGTTAGGTTTTTTTTTTTTTTTTCAATTTGAGCTGTGTCCAGGCCGTTGGAGTTTATGCCGGTCGGCGTAGCCAGGTTTGGTTTAAAAATTTTCTGGTGGCGGCGAAGCCGTCACCTTACAAGAAGTCGTTCCTTCATTTTCTTATTATTAGATGCTTACGATACAAGACACGTTCGTTAAAAGTTGGGATCGAGGTTCACTGGCCAGACGCTAATGAGAGTTGGTTAGGTAAGGTAAGGTTTTTTTTTTTTTTTTTTTTTCAATTTGAGCTGTGTCCAGGCCGTTGGAGTTTATGCCGGTCGGCGTAGCCAGGTTTGGTTTAAAAATTTTCTGGTGGCGGCGAAGCCGCCACCTTACAAGAAGTCGTTGCTTCCTTTTCTTATTGTTTATTTTCATAATATTAGATGCCCACGATACAAGACACGTTCGTTAAAAGTTAGGATCGATGTTCACTAGCCAGACGCTAATGAGGGTTGGTTAGGTTATGTTAGGTTTTTGTCCAGGCCGTTGGAGCCTATGCCGGTCGGCGTAGCCAGGTATGAGTTAAAATTTTTTGGTAGCGCCACCCTACAAGAAGTCGTTGCTTCATCTTCTTATTGTATGTTGTTGGTTTAGGTTGGGTCGTCGAAGAGTACTCTGCCGATGAGGGTGAGGAAGAAGATCTTAATATGGGTATTTTTTAAATCGTTAGTTTTATATAATTTTTCTGATACTGAAGTCAATTGGTTGGCCTGGTACAACGCAGTGCATAGGTAAAAATTACCATTGCTATGTAATAGATAATTGATATGGCAACATTGCATTTCTTTTAGACATATGTCACACTGGAAATCTTAATTGTCATAGTCTTTACGAAAATTAAAAAATTCCGACGAACCTAAACATGAGCTTAAATTAAAAAAATAAACTATTTACGAAAAAATTTTGATGGTTTATTGCATTATGGATGGTCTAGTGTTATTATTTAGCAGTTTCTATAACAAGAAATTAACCAAAATGATGTAGTTTAAATTTTTTCAACATTGAAATTGGAGGACACATTTTAATAGTTTTAAGGTAAGAAAAAAATATTTTATAGCGTTTGCAGGGCAAAAAAAGTATTTTGAAATGTGTTTCAGAAGGTCTAAAATCGTTTAAAAAAAAATTTAAAAAATAGTCCGTTCGACTGTTGGCGGATTTTTCCAAAAAATTTAAGTAGAATTTATATTTCTACTTTTTGTTTAGTTGTAAGTTTAATTTTTGACAATCATTTTAGATTTATTCAGTATGTGTTTAGTAATTCCTTTTGTGTTGCTGGAATTGTTATTTTTTTCATTTTGTTGAAAATTTAAAAAAACAGTTGTTTACAAGTTTAATCTATATCTCATACACAGGCTACATGAAAAACAGAACTTATTTTAGTTTAGGAAGCGAATTCAAGCAGTGTAAAGTAAAAATAGACTATCAATTTTTACCATCAGACAGTTGTATATCTACTATACCTTGCAAGCAGAGGTTGGCTCGTTAAGTCAAAGAAATCTTCTAGAATCAATGCCGCAGAAGAGGAATTAGGTTCAGTGTAACTAATAATTATCGCAAAATAATTCACGAGGCCAAATCTTAAAATTATCGTACGATAGTCAAAGTATACTATTGTGTTGGTATCAGCATATGAGAGCTCTTATTTTCATGTAAACTTTGGTATATTTATTCAAAGAACAATTGCATTTCCACAATTTTAAAATAAACAAATTTATTTTTATTCTTGTTGAATCTTATTTTTAATGGTTACAACAGATGAGCGCCTCCGTGGACATGAATATAAGTTGGGCAAAGAATATTTTAAAACACGTACCCGAGAAAACTTTTTTTGTAATAGAGTTTTTTATACTTTGAATAATTTACACTCGAGTGTTGTTCGCGCACAGTCAGTAAATGTATTCAAAAACCGACTCGATGACTTTTTTAACGAAAACTAAAAGTTTATTTTTAGTGCTTTGTTTGCATTATGTTATTTGCTAATTACTTATTTAATAATTGTCTTTGTTATTGAACTTGTAATTTTGGGCTTAATAGGATTCATTCCTCAGTCCTAATTAGTTTGTAATAATAATAATAATAATAATTCTTTTTTTACTTAAATTATATATAATTTTGAACTAATTGTCTTTTTAAAAAATAAAAAAAAATATTGGCGCCCTTTTTTCCTGAAAACTATTTCCCCAAAAGTGACTGAGAGTACCATAGTCTTATATGCTCATTTGATTTTCCGATTTGATTAAAGGTAATTGTTTGGTATAAAATATCTAAAATTACATATAAATGATTTACAAAAGGTATATGATTGGCAAACTGCCAAACACATTGTAGACGATGAAAAAATTAGATGGGCAATATCCAGCTTCTCTTCATTTAAATCTCAAGGACCTGCTTCAGCCCTACTTCAGTGGGGTCTGGAAGAACTCACACCGCACTACTCACCCTGAACAGACCACGAATTTATTCAGGGTTAGTACTAGAATGTCACGAAGCTTTGGCCAAAGTATCCATCAACAATGTGGTCACCTTAAGAAGGTCACGCCACATCGAAAAGTAAAACCGTCTTGCTGATTCACTAGCCAATGAAGCAGCCAACCAAATACTTTTTGGACCTGGCCCTTCTATTGGCCTGACAAAATCGGTAGTGTCAGACCTAATTAAAGAACATTCCCTTGTGAAATTCAAGAAAAGATGGGATGAAACAAGAAACTGCAGAGTTGCCAGGGAGCTCTTAAGTTATCCTGACAACACTGCAGCATACAAATACTTGATTATGACTAGACAGAATCTACGCCTAGTCACAGGCATTCTGACTGGTCATTGCCAAGTACGGAAGCATCTCCATATCATAGGGCTGTCAGAATCCGCACTCTGCAGAGGGTGCGAACAAGAAGATGAGGCCATCGAGCATATCTAGACACCGGCCGATATAAGAGAAGCACCTCTTGGCGACGTTGTGAACTACATTAAATCTGTAGGCTGGCTCACGAGCTAGGATGTGCCTATCATCTTAGGAGGATGCACAATGGACCTAATAAGGCCTAAGTACCCACCCTCCACACGTTACAGATACAGATAGAAAAGGTAATTAAACGTTAATTATAAATAATTAACGATCTTATTAAAAATTTAACGCTATTTTATTACACACATTGAACCCGAAATTGAAACTGGTAGACGCAAATTTCCTGGATGGTACATTTTGACGGTTGAAATAAGGGACTCGCTACAAGACTTGTTATCTGTTAGAGATTAACCTTTGAAGTGTTGTATAACAAAATGTGAGCCGAGTCCGAGGCATCTTTACAGATCGAAGCTTAAAACTGGAGTGGTAAGCGAGAAAAAATAATGGTATCATTTTAGAGGAAGTCAGTTCCTCTGTGTGGAAGTCGAATGGAATTTTGTTCTATTGAGTGGAATGCAGTTTGGATCTAGGACGAACTTATGAACATGACATTCATCACATTTTGCAGAAAATATATCCAGCTTGTAATGTATCTTGAGCAAAATGACACATTGTTATTTAGAGTACAGAAAATGTGCATTAAGTGAATGCGTGAGTTCAAACACAAATGAGTTGAAATTGTTATGTTTAAATTTGGGAATGTTTTTATCAGTATCATAAAAACTTGCCTTAGAAACGATTTTGTAGGTTATTAATGGCTTTGGCTTACTGATGTTATTTTATATATTCTCACAGGAATGGACTTAATTTTAAATTTTTCTTTATAGCTATTTTGGTTCAGATAAGATTCCGAATACTGACTTGTAGTTTTTATTGTAATTTTAATTCTCATATTAACAATGTTTTTATTCAAATAGCAGGAGCAACTTTATAAGTGTTAACTGTTTAGACTTCACACAGTAATAATACGCCTATAGAAGATTTTAAACGAATGTGTATGTTACAAACCTCAGTAAAGGAACAACTAAAATGGCGGTACAAAGTTATATTCACAACGTCATCAAATGAAGTTTTTATTTACTGTTTACTCTTCTATTCTAGGTCTGATAATGACTCTCGGGTCGAAACCGATTGCCACGTTCTAATTTTTTGTGAGTATTAAGTTTATGTGGTACATATTTTGAGTATCATTTTCTCTTTTATGAACGAGCAGTTGAACGCCTTCCGCAATTTATGTTAAGAAATATTTAAATTTACTTTTCCAGTAGAAATATAATAAAAATAGCCTTACCTCTCTTATTGTTTCTTCAGTTAACTGCGAATTAGTTGGAGATGAATTAAGGTAGTCGTCATCACTTTCTTCTTCAATGGTAACAAGTCTGGAACTAAATGATAAAAAAATGATTAAAACAAAATAAAATTAAGTTAGTAAATCTTACCAGTATTCTCCGTTTTCAATATTTTGTTCTGCTTCTTCTAAGTTGTTTTCGTCTAAATAATTATTAACAATTAACATTAACAATGGTATTATAAGCTTATCTATATAACTTACTCTCAGTTTCTTCTTCTTCTTCTATGTTTAAAGGACTTAAAGGTACTGCACCTCTTCTATTACGATTGACGAAATCGTTCTATAGGGATAAAAATAATTATTAATGATACATTTTTATCACTGGTTAAACCGATAACTATTTACATACGCTTGTGCCTTCATTTTCTCGATTAAAAACATCGTTTTCGTCATTTTGATTGAAAGATAAACGTTCTGAAAATCCTCTGCTTGTGCTTGGTATCGGCTCAGTCTCCTGGTTATTATTTATACTCCTACTTGTTTGACTGGTTGGAGATGGTCCACCGTTGCTTAATCTAGGGGAATCACTAAACCTTGAAATGGTAATGGTGGGACTTTTTATTACCGTTCCATTTACCCTGTGAGGTCTAACCTCCTGGGTTTTTTGATCTTTAAAAAATATAAATAAACAATTTTATTTTAACATTAATTATACTGTTTTAAACTAGGATTGGGATAGAACGCGATATTAATTTTCAATAATTGACTCGGTACCAAAATTGATTGCTTTAGATTTTTTAGGATTAATTTTGAATGATTTTTGGATAGATTAAAAATTTTATTTAGATGAGAATTAATATCCTGTATAGATCCATTAAAATTGGAATACTTAAAAGAATAGTATATAATTATTGGGTATCATCAGTGTATAAATAGTAATTACAGTGTTTAAGTATAGGTACTTAGAAATTGTGAGGTGTAGAGTAAATCATAAATGGCCTAAAATACTACCTTGAGGTACAATACTGATGTTACTTGTCTTTCTAAAATTAATACTATATTTAGTGATCTGGAAAGGCCTCAGGTCAATAGTTGAATAGTTGGACAAATACAAATTAAGAACAAAATTTTCAGGATTAATAAAATTTTTAAAAACTACTAATTACTTAAGTAATATATTTGATAGAAAAAAACACTTAAAAAGAGAGACTATGGTTTACAAATCATCCTCATTCATCCAAATACTTAATGCTCCGGCTGAAATACTATCTGATGCAATGCGCGATTGTGATAAAACGATATAACTTAATTCTTTTAGATAATGGGTTTAAAAGTTTTCATCTATGTATTTAAGACACTTACCTCTGCACCTCGTATATCGTCAACTCTTGAATTATTGAAATAAAAGTAAGTAAAATTTGAGACTCTGTATATAACTTGTAGTTTTATTTAAAAAATGTTAATATCAGGGTTTAGTGCGAGTTCAAAGATTCTTTATGGCTAATATGGGATAAACAGAAAATTGTTACATAAGTGTAAAAATAAACTTAAGAACGAAAAATAATATAATACGTCATTTAAAGATCGATTCTTGGATCGAAAATATCGCATTATCCGACAAAAATACAGTTAGCTACCGTGGCTTAATGTTCTACTCACTGCACGGCGCTTCTTAATGTAAGTAGCAATCTTTTGACCGGCTATACAGTAATTTCTCAAGTCGGACAAGAGATTGCCTATAACCTAACCAACCCAAAATGTCTCTACAAAGTTGTGACACTATTTTAGACGTAAATAGAAAGATTTATCGTCTTTACGATTACTTAAATACTCAATTATGGTAAGTAGTTTGGAAAAATCCGCCAACGGTTGAACGGACTATTTTTTTTTATTTTTTTTTAAACGATTTTAGACCTTCTGAAACACATTTCAAAATACTTTTTTTGTCCTGCAAACGCTATAAAATATTTTTTTCTTACCTTAAAACTATTAAAATGTGTCCTCCAATTTCGATGTTGAAAAAATTTAAACTACATCATTTTGATTAATTTCTTGTTATAGAAACTGCTAAATAATAACACTAGACCATCCATAATGCAATAAAACATCAAATTTTTTTCGTAAACAGTTTATTTTTTTAATTTAAGCTAATGTTTAGGTTCGTCGGAATTTTTTAATTTTCGTAAAGACTATGACAATTAAGATTTCCAGTGTGACATATGTCTAAAAGAAATACAATGTTGCCATATCAATTATCTATTACATAGCAATGGTAATTTTTACCTATGCACTGCGTTGTACCAGGCCAACCAATTGACTTCGGTATCAGAAAAATTATATAAAACTAACGATTTAAAAAATACCCATATTAAGATCTTCTTCCTCACCCTCATCGGCAGAGTACTCTTCGACGACCTAACCTAAACTAACAATATACAATAAGAAGATGAAGCAACGACTTCTTGTAGGGTGGCGCTACCAAAAAATTTTAACTCATACCTGGCTACGCCGACCGGCATAGACTCCAACGGCCTGGACACAGCTCAAATTGAAAAACCTAACCTAACCAACCCTCATTAGCGTCTGGCCAGTGAACCTCGATCCCAACTTTTAACGAACCTGTCTTGTATCGTGAGCATCTAATAATAAGAAAATATACAATAAGAAAATGAAAGAACGACTTCTTGTAAGGTGATGGCTTCGCCGCCACCAGAATATTTTTAATCCATACCTGGCTACGCCAACCTGCATAAACTCCAACGGCCTGGACACAGCTCAAATTGAAAAAAAAACCTAACCTAACCAACCCTCATTAGCGTCTGGCCAGTGAACCTCGATCCCAACTTTTAACGAACGTGTCTTGTATCGTGAGCATTTAATAATAAGAAAATATACAATAAGAAAATGAAGAAACGACTTCTTGTAAGGTGGCGGCTTCACCGCCACCAGAAAATTTTTAAACCATACCTGGCTACGCCGACCGGCATAAACTCCAACGGCCTGGGCACAGCTCAAATTGAAAAAAAAACCTAACCTAACCAACCCTCATTAGCGTCTGGCCAGTGAACTTCGATCCCAACTTTTAACGAACGTGTCTTGTATCGTGGGCATCTAATAATAAGAAAATATACAATAAGAAAATGAAAGAACGACTTCTTGTAAGGTGGCGGCTTCGCCGCCACCAGAATATTTTTAGTCCATACCTAGCTACGCCGACCGGCATAAACTCCAACGGCCTGGACACAGCTCAAATTGAATTTTTTTTTTTTAATATTAGATAAGTACCAACATGCCGTAATTAATGTAGAATCATCATGAAATGAAATAAAAAGATGGTTGTCTGTGATTACTACAAATGTTTTCACTTTCCAAATTTACCTGCTGGCCAGACACTATGTAATTTTTCAGCCAACTTTCACTAATCGAATTATTTCCTGACTTATATGTTTTCTTACTCGATTTGGCAACACCGCATTTATAGAAACTAGACACATCAATTGTCATTAAAAATAATTTAGTGATTATTTATTTTTCTAACAAACTAAAAATGAAAAATAAGAAAATTTGATCGTTTATGAAAAAATTTGGTACGGTTTATGCTCTATGAATGGTCTTATATTGATATTGAGCCGTTTCTACAACAAGAAATCAGTGAAAATGGTTTATTTTACATTTGTTTTATGATGGAGACCCGACAACAAATTTTAAGGATTTTGGATTTTAAGGTAATTTTTTTTTTTAAATAAGTGTTAGCGGGCCCAAAATTGTTATGTATAGTGTTTCAAAGTGTCTAGAAA